GCTGACTCATAGTGGGGTAGGGAGGGGGAACATGGGAGGAATAGATGAATTCTAGACAGGGCAGAGGCGTGGAAAGGAAAGGGAGGGGGCAAAGGATTAGCAAGGATGGTGGAATATGATAGACATCATCATCCAAAGTACATGTATGAAGACACGAATTGGTGTCAACATACTTTATATAGAGAGATATGAAAAATTTTGCTGTATATATGTAATGAGAATTGTAATGCATTCCACTGTATTTTAATTACATTTGTGTTTTAAAAAATCAAAAGAATGCTTTTCCTTGGCATAATTAAACTTCTAATTGAAGTAATCAAATTCTGTTTTGTAATGACCTCAGCAACATTAAAAAAAAAAATCGTCTGACAGTTGCCTTAACGTTCATATTGTACTCAGCAATTGAAGCTCAACTTTACCTAGTCCTATGGAGGATCAAGAGCATAAACAAAGGCTCCTACTTCAAAGGCATTCACACAGGTTAGGGAAAAGACATTGTGACATGACATTGTCACCCAGAGGATCAGAAAAGGATTTATTAGGTGCTGAGTGATATGACCTGTGGGAACGCAGAGGATAGCCGCTCATGAGTACAGGAGTAGTTACAGGCTCTGTGGGGAATGGGGTCCTTTTTGTGACTTGCAAAGGTGAAATTTCCAAACACTGTAAAAAGGTGCTTTATGGCTTTTTACTTATTCAGAAGTAGCATTGATGAGTAAAGAGTCATTCCAAACTATGGAGTTTTGGAATTCAGAATGTCTGGATTTCAGTCCCAGCCCTGACATTTATTAGCCACATGTGACCCTGGACACATTATTTAATAGGGTATTTCTCATCTGTAAGGTGATTTTAGGTAACACCTTTTAGAGTTATTATAAAAATTGAACAAAATTTGCCTAACAACATCAACAGTATCAGAGGTTGATGTTATTACCCAAGTGATTTTACATGACTTGCAAAAGATGTTTCTACTCTTCAGGATTTTATGACCCCAAAGAGATACTACTTGGCTTGAAATGTATCATTCTCTGTGATCAGTAAAGTACTGTGTAAGTCTCCTCCTCCCTGATATATATATATATATTTTTTTTTTATATTGACAGCCAGCCATTGAAAGATATGACTGCTTTGCAAGACCTAAATTCATTAGTACAATTTCTTATAACTGTAAGCTGAGGTTCCTTAGGGGCCGTCCTTGTTCACACACAGCCCTTCCAGATTTCTTTCCAGAAATTCTTCTACAGTGCAGCTACCTATGTAGTATTCCTCCCTTCTTATGCATAATTTCATTACTGTTTGGCTTTTCTTAATAAAACATCATTAACAAGGTAAGAGGTCCTTTTAAATAGACAATTTAGAGTGGCATATTCATGATTTAATCTTAATTTTACTTTTTTTTTTTTTTTTGCCCATTTGGTCAAATTATAACTTTGGTCTCTCATTTTCATGATTTCAAGAATGTAAATATCTTAACAATTTTAATTTTTCATCTTTTATATTACTAGTTTTCTATTGATATTTACATTTTATTTCTAATATCTAAGACATCTGTTTTTCAACATAATCAATTTCTTTAAAAAATTACAAGTAAATTTTTATTTTCAATTGATGCATAGCAACCTTACATACTTATGGGTATAGTGTGACATTTCAATATATGTGTACAATGTATAATGATCAGATCAGGTAATTTGCATAGTTATCGTGTCAGACATTTATCGTTTCTTTGTTGGTAACTTTACTAGCTATTTTGAAATGGACAGTTATTTTCTACTAGTTATCCTACAACAGTAGAAGTTACTCCTTTTGTCCAAACTTATCTTTGTGTCTATTGATCATCTTCTCTCAATCCTTTATCAGTCCTCAACAAGCTCTCAACTCCTTATTTCAGTGTCTACTTCTATGAGATCACCTTTTTAGCTTTCATATGTAAGTGGGAACATGTAGTATTTGTTGTTTGGTATCTTATTTCACTTAACCTCCAGGTCATTTATATTGCTACAAATAACAATGCCTTTTTTAATGAGTGAATAATATATTGTGTATATATACATCATATTTTCTTCATCCTTTCACTCATCGATGGATATCCAGGTTGATTAGATATCTTGTCTGTTATGAATAGTGCTGCAGTAAGCATACAAGTGCAATTATCTCTTTGATCTAATGACTCCATTTCATTTGGATATATTCCCAGGAGTAGGATTGCTGGATCATATGGAGATTCTCTTTCTAGTTTTTAAAGGAAGTCCTTACTGATTTTGTAATAGCTGTTCTAACTTACATTCCTATAAACAGTATATGAGTTTTTTTCTTTCTCTGTGTCTTCACCAGTGTTTGTTATTTGTTTTTATTAATAGCCATTCTAACCAGGATGAAAGGATCTCATTGTATTATTTTTAATTAATTTATTTTTTAATTGTGGTTTTGATTTGCAATTTCCTAGTGATGAGTAGCAGTATTGAGCATTGTTTTTTTTATATACTGGTAGATTTTTGTTTATCTTTTGGGAAATACCTATTTGGATCATTTGCCCATTTTTTTAATAGAATTACTACTTTTTGTTTTTCACTTATCTGAGTTCTGTACATTAATCCTATAGATATATGGACAGTTTGCAAATATCCTTTCCTATTTTGTAGATTGTCTCTTTACTCTGTCAATTGTTTCCTTTTCTGTTTAGAAGAGTTTTAGTTGAATGTAATTTCCGTTTGTCGATTTTTGCCTTTTTTTTTTTTTTCTGCCTGTGCTTTTGTGGTCACATGCAAAAACATGTTTGCACCAGTGTCTAGATACACTTTTCCTATGTTTTCTTCTAGTAGTTGAATTTCTTATGTGTAAGTCTTTGTTCCATTTTGAGTTCATTTTTGTATATGTTGAGAGGAAATGATTTGTTTTCATTCTTCTCCATATGGATATCCACTTTTCCCAATACTAGTTCATGAAGAGACTTCTTCCCTCCAACATTTGTTCTTACTGGCTTGGTTGAACATTCCACGCTCTAATGCATGAAATTCAGATTCTGGGCTCTGTTCTGTTTCAATTGTGTGTGTTTTGATGCCAGTACCATGCTGTTTGGTTACTAAAATTTGTAGTATGTTGAAGTCAGGTTTTGTAATATCTCCAGGTTTGTTCTTTTTGCTCAGGATTTCTTTGGGTATTCAGGATGTTTTATATTCCGTGGAAACTTTAGGAGGATTCCCACCCCCTGCCCCAACCGGGCAGAACATCACTTTGGTTTTGATTGAAATTGTATGGCATATGTAGATCACTTTGAGTAGCATGAACATTTTAACAATGCTGGTTTTTCTGATCCATGAACATAGGATTCCTTCATTTTTCTATGTCCTCTTTAATTTTTTTTTTCTACTTTTTAGTTTTAGGTGGACACAATATCTTTATTATTATTTTTTTTTAATGTGGTGCTGAGGATTGAACCCAGGGCCTCGTGCATGCTAGGTGAGCACTCAATCACCGAGCCACAACCCCAGCCCCCTTCTTTAGTTTCTTTCATCAATGTTTTGTAATTTTCATTGTAGAGATAATTTGTTCCCATGGTAAAATTAATCCCAAGGGGTGGGTGTTTTTGGTAGTTGTAGCTATTGTGAATGGAATTGCTTTGATTTCCTTCTCAGCAGTTTCGTTATTGGTATATGAAAAGCTACTGATTTTTGTATGTTGATCATCCTGTGACCCTACTGAATTTATTGGTTATAACAGTATTTTTATTGTTGTTAATGTCTTTAGGTTTCTGTTTATAAAATTATGTCACCAGCAAACAGGGATAATTTGACTTTCTCATTTCCTGTTTGGATACCCTTTATTTCTATTACCTTCTTGATTTGGCTGAGACTTATAATTCTATTTTGAATAAAAATGGTGAAAGTGGATGTACTTGTCTTGTTCCTGATCTTAGAGAAAGAAACTAGCTTTTCCTCATTTGGTCTATGGTTTATCATATACCACCCTTTTGTCTTGAGGTACATTCCTTTCATACCTAATTTTTTAAGGGTTTTTTTCTTGATGTTATGTTGAAATTGATAGAATGCCTGTTCTGTACCTTTATGAGAAGCCCATATGGTTTTTGTCCTTCATTGTGTTGATGTGCTGTATTATGTTTTTTTTAGTTTGCATATGTTGACCCCCCTATGCATCTCTGGAATAAATCCAATTTGATCATGGTGTCTAATATTTTTTTGTAGTTATAAAAGTTTTAATTATAAAAGTAAGCCATGGGAGACAGGCCAATGTTCACCAATAAAGGATTAGTTAATAAATTATGGTACAACCAAGTAGCTACTAAACACTAAGTTTCGAAAGAATTTAAAAGCATAAAAAATGTTCATAGTACATGGGGAAAAATGGGTTAGAGAAAGAGGACTGTATATACATTTTGATCTCATGAGTGGAAGTGAGAAATACAGAAGCCCAGAAAGACATACAACAAAATGTTAATATTGATTATCCCTGGAAGTTTATTATAAGTGATTTTTGGCTTTTCACTTTTTGGCTTCACAGGTATTTGTTACAGTAAGCATGTATTGCTTTCATAACTGAGGAAAACAATAAATAGTATTTTTTTGGGAAAAACAGAAGATACAAAAATCTAAAGCTATACTTCTTCATTCTCCCAATTCTTTAATAATCAAGGTATATATGTGTGAAAAAAGAAAACAACTAGGCAGGCTCTTTTATCTAATAATAAAAATGTTTATCAACTATAAAATGGGTAGAAATATTGCTTTATTGGAGAAACATCCAAATTACTTTCATGTTTGTTATAAAGTCCTAACAAGCATCCAAGAAGAAAATATACAGTTTCCATAGGAATAAAAACAAACAAAATGGGATGGTGACTGCCCCAAATGATATTTCCTAAAAAAAAAAAAAAAAAAGTAATGTTTAACCTATCTTCTGTTGAGGAAAGATAAGTAAACTGCACACATCATAAATAAGATTTTCTTACTTTACAAGAAAGAAGAACAGCAATCCTGGTTTTGAGGCATATTAAATACAAAATCCACTCTCTGACCAAGACGAGGGGGAAAATCATTCTTCAAATTTCAGTTCTCATGCAATAAAATCCAAAGGTCTGTTGAAGCCACCTTTTCGATTCATGTACTGCCTGTGCTTCCTCTTCTGAGACACATTTATGGCATAGGCATTGACAGAGCCATCTACCTTCTTCCCTTTTGTTGAGTCAAAAGAGGCAAATCCCATGAACTTCATCATTTCAGTTTCTTCCTCTGTTTTGCCCTCTAAGTCTTCCTCGGTAATCTGACGTTCTTTGCTCTTTGTTTCTTTTTTTTTAAAATTTTTTATTGTTGGTTGTTCAAAACATTACATAGTTCTTGATATATCATATTTCACACTTTGATTCAAGTGGGTTATGAACTCCCATTTTTAGCCCATATACAGATTGCAGAATCACATCAGTTACACATCCATTGATTTACATATTGCCACACTAGTGTCTGTTGTATTCTGCTGCCTTTCCTATCCTCTACTATCCCCCCTCCCCTCCCCTCCCCTCTTCTCTCTCTACCCCCTCTACTGTCATTCATTTCTCCCCCTTGTATTATTTTCCCCTTTCCCCTCACTTCCTCTTGTATGAAATTTTGTATAACCCTGAGGGTCTCCTTCCATTTCCATGCAATTTCCCTTCTCTCTCCCTTTCCCTCCCACCTCTCATCCCAGTTTAATGTTAATCTTCTTCTCATGTTTCTTTCTTTTCCTCATCTTTTCTTTCTTTTAGTCGAGAAGGGGAAGGAGATGTGGATCCATGTCGTCTTGGGGATCGGGAGCGCCTTCGGTGTGGGGATCTCGAAGGGCTCCTTTTTGGATCTCTTCCTTCTCTCTCCCGGGAAGTGGACCGGGACCGCCTACGTTCCCTCCGCGGGGATTGGCTTCGGCTGCGACCCATTCGGAGTCCAACTCCTCCTCACACCAAGTGTCTAATATTTTTGATGTGCCATCAGATTAGACTTGATAGTATTTTGAGAATTTTTGCATCTAGGGATATCAGGGATATTGGTCTGTAGTTTTCCCTTCCTTTCTTCTTTCCCTTGCCCTTGTCTGGTTATGATATCAGGAAAATTCTGGCCTTTTAAAATGAGTTTGGAAAGCCTTCTTCTATATCAATTCTTGGGACTAGTTTAAGGAAAACATGTTATTTCTTCTTTAAAAGTTTTGTTAAAATTCGGCAGTGAAGCCGTCAGTGTTGGGCTTTTCTTTGTTGGGGGATTTTTAAAAATTATTCAATCCTGTAACTTGTTAATTGGTCTGTTTAGATTTCCTATGTGTTTCAGGTTCAAAATAAGGTTATGTGTTCACAGACTTATCTATTTCTTCTAGGTTTTCCAACTTGTTTTCATATAGCTGTTTATAATTGTTCCTGGTGATCCTTTGTATTTCTGTGATAACAGCTGTAAGCTCATTTTTTTTTTATTTCTAATTTTGACTCTTCTCACTCTGTTGTCTAGCTAAAGGTTTTTATTAATTTTGTCTTTTATAAGCCCATCTTTTCATTTCCTTGACTTTTGTAGTTTTTTTGGTCTCTACTTATTCTCTGCTCTATATTCTTTCCCTTGACTAATTTTGGGTTTGTTTTGTTCTTTTCTAATTCTTTGAGTTGTCTTATTAGGTTATTTATTTGAAATCTTTCTGTTTTTTTGATGTAGGCAGTTATAGCTGTGAGTTTTCCTGTGTTTCCTGCTGTATCCCATATGTTTTGGGTATGTTGTATTTTTATTTTCATTTGTCTCAAGACATTTTTAAATTTCTCTTTTGACTTTTTAATCAATTCATTGATCATTTAAGAGTATGTTGTTTAATTGACATTTATTTTTATTATTACTTCAGTTCTGCTTGTTGATTGTTGGTTTTATTCATTGAGGCTGGAGAAGATACATACTATGATTTCTATTTCTAAGAAGTGAGTTGAGCCATATTTTATGGCCTAACATGGAGTGTATCCTATGGATGTTCCATGGGCTGAGAAGAATGTGTATTCTGCAACCACTGAAAGCAGTGTTCTGTACATGTCTTTGTGGTCCTTTGGGTTATAGTATGATTTAAGTCTCATGTGTCTTCACTTTTTTTTTTTTTTTGATCTGGATGATCATCCACAGATGAAACTGGGGTTTCAAAGTCTCCAACTGTTATTGTGTTAGTCTCTCTCTTTAGATATAATAATGTTGGCTCTATATAATTTTGTGCTCTGGCACTGGATTTATATATATTTACAAATGTTATCTTCCCTTGTTAAATTGATCCCTTTATATACACACTTTTTCTTTATAGCTTTTGGCTTAAAGTCTGTTATCTAAGCATAGTGATTCTTGCTTATTTTTGGTTTCTTTGTGTGAAATATCTTTTCCCATCCCTGTACTTTCAGTCTAAATGTGTCTTTAGTGGTGAAGTGAATTTCCTATAGGCAGCATATCAATGGGTCTTTTTATTTTCTTTGTTCAAATCCATTCAGCCAGCCTGAATATTTTAGTGAAGGAATTTAATACATTTATATTGAAAGTTATTATGGATAAATACGTATTTGTTAAATGTCTTTGGTTGTTTTGTATAAGGTTTAATCCTTTTTCTCTTTTGTGTACATTCTCTTCTAATGAGTTTTATCCTTTTTTGTGTTTTCATAATTGTAGTTATTGTCCTTTCGCTTCCAGTGTAAGACTCCTGTAAGTATTCCTTGTAGGACCAGACTGGTGATGAATTCCTTCAGGCTTTGCTTGTCTTGGAAAGACTATTTTCCTTCATTTCTGAAGGATAGCTTTGCTGAATATAATATTCTAGTTTGGCAGTTTCTTTCGTTCAGGGTTTTGAGTATGTCATCTTATTCTCTCTGGCCTGTAAGGTTTGTGCTGAGGAGTCTGCCATTAATCTAATGGGGGATTCCCTTAATGGGACTTGACACTCTTTTCTTGCTGTTTTTAGAATACTTTATTTTGTATCTTTGACAATTTGACTATAATATACATGAGAGAGAATCTTTTATTGTTGACTCTATTAAGGGGTCCTTTGAGCTTTTTGAATCTGATGTTCATATCTTTTCTAGGATTTATAATATTTTTATTAAATTCATTAAATAAGTTTTTTTTTTTCTTCTGCTGGATTTAGTTGCTGTAAAGGCTGTCAAATCTATTCTTAAATTTCATTTCATGGGGGTTTTTAGCTCCAAGATTTGTTCTTTCTTATGATCTCTTTACTGGATTTCTCATTTAGATCATGATTTCTCTTTCTAATTCCATTGAATTATCTGTCTGTATTGGATCTCACTGAATTTCTTGAAAGTCATTGAATTCCTTTTCGTTCAATTTGTGGATTTCCTTTTCTCTGTCGTCTACTGCTGGAACGTTATCCAGCCTCTTTAGATAACCCTGTTTTTCATGCTGCTGATGTGATGTTCCTCTGTTGATATTGGTGAGTCTGGCAGATCACTTCCCTCTACCAATTTCTAAATTTGGCTTTTGTAATAAAAGACAGCCTGACAATATGGTCTGGGGTATCATTTGGTATCATTGGGCTACCTGGGCTTTGGTTCTAGGCCAGTGCTTTAGTGTGGTGTCTGTGAGGCTTCTTCATCTGTAACTGATGGCAGAGATGCCTGTGAGTGTGTCAGTGGTATGTAGGGGTCCTGGGACTACCCAGCCAGCTGGGATGCAGCTCTCATAGATGAGCAGTTTCATTAATGGCTCTAGGCATGGTACCTCCTATTGTGGGTGTTAGATAGCTGTCATTTTCTGTATTCCATTCTGGTGGGGCTGCTCTGGCTGGCACATGAGGGTGAGCTGTGGCTGGTGTGGCAGAGTAGGTAAGACTCCCCTCAGTTCCTGAGGACTCTTTAGGGAGAGGATGGAACTACTCTGATGAGCCCAGATAGGTCCAGTGTAGCATGTTTGGCGTGAGGTTCTATCAAAGTCCAAGGGCCAAATGGTGTTAGACCACAGTGGAGGGCCCAGACTGGGGAACCCATCAGTGTCTGAAGGCTTTGTGGTGACTGTGGGTCGTCTGGGGCCAATCTGTTCAGGTTGTGCTGCTCAGCAGCTTCATAGGGCTGGTGATTGGTTGGTGGGATCACTTGTCTTCCTCTTAGGCTAGGCTAAGCCACTCGGGGCAGGCTGCTCAAACTGCTACCTAACATCAGAGGTTAGTGGGTATTATGGTTGAGATATTAGGTGTTCCCCCAAAGCTGTGTGTAAGATAATGCAAGAAGTGTTAGAGGCAAAATTATTAGGTTATAAGGGTCTTAACCCAATCAGCGAATTAATCCCCAGATAAGGATTAACTATTTGGTAACTGTAGGCAACTAGGGTGTGGCTAGAAGAGGTGGGTCCCTGGGGGTGTGCCTTTGGGATGGAGATATATATATATACATACATACACACACACACATATATGTGTACACGTGTGTACATATATATTGTCCTTGGTGACAGAGCTCTCTCTCTGCTTCCTGGTGTGATGTCTTGAGCTGCTTCCCTCCACCACATTCTTCCACCTTGATGTTCAGCTTTATTTTGAGTCCCAAGGAATGGAGTCATCTGTCTATGGATTGAACTCTCTGAAACCACAAGCCCCAGAATAAACTTTTCCTCCTCTAAAATTGTTCTTGTCAGGTCTTTTGGTCACAGCAGCAAAAAAAAAAAAAAAAAAAAAAAAAGGCCTGACTAAGACAGTAGGGGAAACCTGCCTGGCGGCTGCCTGGGGACCTTAACATGCCAGACTGCTCAGGACAGGCTGCTCAGCTGCTTTCTGGGGTCATGTGTGGTGGGGTGATGCCACCTGGCTGGTTTGTAGAGCTGGATCAGCAAGGTTGCTGTGACAGCTGCTTGGTGGCTTCAAAGGAGCCTCTGTCGTAGGGTCTCAAGGTGACTGTGTGGCAAGAGCCTGCATGGGAGCCGTCACAGTGGCTATTTTTCCAGGGCAATGAAGTGGTGTGTGGTAACCTGGAAGCTGCTCAAACTGACCTTGGGGCCAGTGAGGGCTGCATGGTTCTTCAGCAGCAGATACCTCTGGTGTTTATGGCATGCAGAGGAATCTCTGGGACTTCCTGCTGATGCTTTCCCTGCTGAGCCACACAAGTATCTGTTCAGGGTTGAAGAGGAGAAAGGGGATCATAGCTATTGTATGCTTAGTTCTTTTCTTTATGAAGCCATCATGAATCTTGGTGCTCTGAGACATCTCTGCCACACCCCTTTGCACTCTGAAGCTCTCCTTTCAATACTCCAGCGAAATAGCTGATTTTTTTTTTTCTTTCAGCCCTTTTATGTGAAGGGAAACATTCCGGGCTCCTTCGCTTAGCCATCTTGCTGACTTCTATGAGTTTTTCTCATGGTCTCCTGTGCCAGATGTTCTCTTGCCCTTCTTTGCATTCGTGATACTTTCTCTCATTTTAAACCTGCCTTGTATGTCACTATTTTTTCCCATTTAACAAAGTTTGCTATGTATTAACATATCAAATAATTTAGGAATGAAGGTTTAATTCTTAGGATTGTCATACCTGCTGTTATTTGAATATGTCCTCTCAAAAGGGCATGTGTTGGAAGCTTAATCTCCAAGCTCATGTTAATTATATTTTGAGGTGGCCATTGGGAGATAATTAGGATTAGGTGAGGTCTTACAAGAGTGGGCCTCCTAAGACAGCACCAGGGGCTCTATAAAAATAGGGAGAAAGACTCAGTGCTTGCCCTGAGTATCATTATATAATACCCTCTGTCATGTCATACAGCAGAATGAAGCCTTTACTCAGTGCCAAGATGCTGATGGTGTCAGATTCTTGGCCATCTTAGCCTCCAGAATCATGAGCCAAATAAACCTCTGTTCTTTATAAATTACCCAGACTCTGGTATTGTTATTGTAACAGAAAGCACGCTAAGATAATGCACTATATGTTTCATTAAATTAAAAAAAATA